GGTATAGTCCCAATCATACACATACAACAGATTGGTTCCCACGGAACACTTTAAGGTAACGCACAGACCCTGAACCTATCCGTTCTGGCTACCTAGATAGAAACCTGAACCTATCAGGTATGTACTATCTGACGAACAGTTGTACCCAGTCTGACCCACAGACTCCAACTCCACTTCTCCACGTCAGCTCCCCTACGATGGACTTCCCCCAAATATATACAGTACAGCTCCTCCCCCCTGATGTCCCGCCTTCCACTCCCCATAGGATGGAACTTTCCCTCCAAACCCATGACAGACAGGTACCATCAGTGCTGTATGTGACACCCCTGTTAATAAAACATATCAGTAATTAAAATATGTAAACAATTTTTAAATGTTCCTGCTGGCCTTCATCTTTCCATAGATGCAAAGAGTAGAGCATTTATAGCCAAGATTCAGACTGGGTATGTTTCAAAGGGAAGTGCAAAATGTATCTTGTCAGCTTGCCCAGCCCATCAAAGGTCTACCATCTTGAAAAGCCATATTGGACATGCTTTGAGACTGACAAATGGCCTTCCTGCTAAAACTGTAGACTCTTTTATCTTCCTGATGACAGTTGTGGCTTGCTTTTAAATCAGAGCTGCAACAGATGCAGCTCTGGATCTTCAGTTGCCAATTCACAAATGAAGGAGCTCCTTTCATGAATAGAAGGGGCTGCAATCCAGCAAAGACTCGTACTGGAGGAATCCTAGAATCACAGCATGAAGGGAGCTCCTGTTGATTCATGAGACTCATAGTTAAAGCATCCCTGGCACATGGTAGCTCAATCTTTGTTTAAAAATGATGGAAAATGCACCACCACCAAGGCAATCCATTCTACTGAAATACAACAGAGAAAGGGGTGGAGGCATTGTTTATTGCATATTCCATCCCCAGTATTGTCTGCCATATTGTTCCTTTTTAACGCTATGGAACAGAAGGGGTAAAGGAAGATGGACAGGGACAAACAATTTTCCTCCTGCTGCTTCTACAAGCAGTGGTGCTCTATGGGTGGAATCCTCTTCATGGGACCACTGAATCCTAGCCTATATAGCAAACAGGTGATGTGCAGCTTTCCCCAAGCTATTTGTGTGGCTGACAAATCAATGATAATCCCTTGAATTTAAACATTTTTGGATTTTCCAGGTATCTCTTGACTGACTAATACCATACAGTGAGTTGTGTTTTTACTGCTGAACAGTACGTGTGGTATTTGGGATACAGTGGGGTCTTGACTTAAGAACGGCTTGAGTTAAGAACATTTTGACTTAAGAACCACTCTCATAGGAAAATATTGACTTGACTTACATACTTAGATTTGAGTTAAGAACTGAAAAAAACCCACGTGGGAGGCAGAGAAAGTGCAAAAAGTGAACTTTCAGTTAACTGTTGGCCAGTGAAAAGGGTGCCTGTCTGCTTCCTCACTCCTCCCAGCGTTTAGAGAGTGGATTGGGAGACAGTCTTCGGACTGCCTGGTACTGTCCTGCCTGGACTGTATTTTCCCTGCCTTCCCTGAACCTTTCTTGACCTAAGAAAAAAAGAAACAAAATATCCCCCTCTAGTGGTCGAAGGCAGAATAGCAGCTTCCCATTAATTTCTATGGACGGAAAAGAGCAGATACGGATCAAATGGTTTTCAATGCATTCCTATGGGAAATGCAGATTTGACCTGAGAACTTTTTGACTTGAGAACCGCCTTCCAATACGGATTAAGTTCTCAAGTCAAGACCCCACTGTATCAGCCACACAAGCTAGGAATTTCTATGGATGCTTGTTTCTACTCATAGTTCCAGGCTACAGCAGAACTCAAGCTGTTTCTAGGATCATCATAGAATGATGGAAACCTAAGAAAAAAGTCATCCTATAGCAGATCTTGTATTATTTTTGCACCATTGTAAACTTGGACAAAACCTCAGATTTTTTAAAGGGGAAAATTATTGAACCTTTTCAAATATCAATCTTGATACCTTTCTTTTTCAGCCATTTTCTATACTGCTGCTATATTGGGGCCTGCAGCTGGTTATCTGGTTGGAGGAGTCTTTCTGAATATTTTCACAGAAATTGGGAGACAGTAAGTGAGCTGCACTTTAACCTTTCCTTAAATGTTGTAAAGAAAATATATTCTTCCTTTCTATTCCCGATTCACCTACACCTGTGTCATATGATATCATGTAGTTTCCAAATGATGGCAACCCTAAGAGGATTTTAAAGTTACATGAGATGTTCAAGGCATGGTTTATCCTTACTGCCCTCCAATGAATTTCTATGACAGAGTAGAGATTTGAACCCACAGCTCCTGGATTCAACATTCTATCCACTACACCACACTAACTCACCTGCATTTGGATTCATCTGTGATTAATGTCCCCTTCACGGATTGCTGCCTTGTCGTGGTGAAGGGGATTGTGTAATTCAGAGAAGAGTCGGACATGACTTAACGACTAAACCACAACAGCAATGATTATTGTTGATCAATTACTGATTGCATATTTAAAACAATATTTTGTCTGTTTAACCTTTGGTGTGTTTCCTGTGCCAATTTTGCCAACTGGTCTAATTTCTGGAATGCAACACCTGAGACCCTTCCCACATTAGAACTCAGCTCTTTGGCCAAAACATATTCCACATCCCTGTCATTGTGAGGAAGACTTTGACGAGAAGTATGTTGAGATTGCATGTTTATAGAAGTGTGATATTACAGTAATTGTCAGGGCTCCATCCTACATAATTTGTGAATCAATAGTTTTGTGAAGTATTTGAACAGTAATTGTCAGGGCTCCATCCTACATACTTTGTGAATCAATAGTTTTGTGAAGTACTCAGTATTCTGTGCTGGAAAGCTCTGTGGTCCGCAGCTGAACTAGAGCAAAGAATTCTCAGTACTTTCGCAGACTACATATCCCAAGATTTTATTGGATGGAGCCATGGCAACTGCTATATGTATGTATTGTAGCAGTACCTTTCTATAGATTTGTCTGTCCGTGGTAGGCTTTTGATCTCCTTTCTTTTCTTTTAAACTAGTCTGAGACTGCATAAGCCTATAAATAGAGAACTGTCCTCTCTCAATTCTTTAAATGGAAGAAGGTATTCTGCAGTGGTCGGGCACATAGTCACCATAGGTAAAGCTAAAGGATCCCCTTGACATTTAGTCCAGTCGTGTCCGACTCTAGGGGGTGGTGCTCATCTCAGTTTCCAAGCCATAGAGCTAGCGTTTGTTCGAAGACAGTTTCCGTTGTCACATGGCCAGTGCGACTTAGACACAGAACGCTGTTACCTTCCCACTGAAGGTATTTATCTACTTGCATTTGCATGCTTTCAAACTGCTAGGTTGGCGGGAGCTGGGACAAGTGACGGGCGCTCACTCCATCATGTGAATTCGATCTTACGACTGCTGGTCTTCTGACCCTGCAGCACAGAGGCTTCTGCGGTTTAACCCACAGCGCCACCACGTCCCTCATAGCCACCATAGTCCAAGTCTATCTTGCCATGGAGTCATTGTGGATTTCTGGTGCTAGCAAAGGAATCGCAGCATACCTGGATATGTAAAGCAGGGAACATGATTGGATTTACAGCAACACAGCACATAATTTGAGGATCATGTGTTCAGCAATTCTTGGTATTTCCATAGAGCGGGGCTGCAGCAGCCCTCTGCTGGAGCTCCTAGAAAGCTACCACCCCCCAAAGGAGACAGTATTGGGCTAGATGGTCTGATAGCTCAAAGCTGGGGCCAGGATTTCAGTTCCCCACTGTGCCTTCCATGTGATGAACCAGCCTGTGTAGCCTTTGGACAAGTAGCATGATCCTAGGATGCCACCAGAAGAAAGGAGTGGTGAAACACCTCTGAATACTTTCTACCTTGAAAACCCCGAGAAGGTCTGCTGTAGATTGGCATTGACTCGATAGAACATGGGATTCTAGAAGATGTTAACCCCCTAATTACAGTGGTGCCTCGCTTTACGATTGCCCCGCATTATGATGAATCCGCTTAACAGCGATCTAAATGGGGGAATTTCGCTTTGCGATGATCGGTTTCTTGCTTCGGGAACTGATCCTTCGCAAAATGATGTTTTTAGAACAGCTGATCGGGGTTTCAAAATGGGCGCCGGGTAATTAAAATGGCTCCCCGCTGTGTTTAGGGACGGATTCCTCACTATGCAGGCAGCAAAAATGGCCGCCATATGGAGGATCTTCGCTGGACAGTGAGTTTTTACCCCATTGGAACAGGCTTCAATGCATTTCAATGGGGTTTTTTTCGCTTTACAATGTTTTCGCTTAACAACGATTTTCCTGGAATGGATTATCGTCATTAAGCGAGGCACCACTGTACACCTGCGTATTTATTATAATAAGAAACTCACTGGTCTTGGGAATGAGATATACATACCAAAGGCATAGATTGTTTGTATTAAAAAGAAAGGGAGATTGTCATCCATCGGGAAAATATTGCTGAAATTACTGGGAGGTATTTAAAATAACTGAACCTGGTGGTCTTCTAAAACTCTGCTTTTTTGCACTTTAATCTTCAGCAGAATCCGTAATCTTACATTAATTCAAGCCACTAAGCTTGCAATTTACTTTTGACTGCCAGAGTGGGCCTTTGAGCTTTGAAATGAGCCCCGCTCCCCCAGTCTCTCCTCTGGTTTCTTCCCTCTCTCTTAAAAGATCCTGAAATGGGAGCCCCTCTTTTATGTAAATGAATTCCTTCAAATATATAGATGGATGTTGTGATTCTGCTCAGGCGAGGTGGGTCTCTGAGGTTGAAGGGTGACATGCTGGAGCCCAGGCCAGCTCAAGACACATCGCTGCCTGAGACAGAGCAGCAAATGGATCTTCTCTCCACCAAAGTCAAGGTCTATAATACTGAAACCCCAAGCGAGTTACTGTAGGACTTCACCAGCAAAAAACCCACACAATCACCTCTTCCCCTTATCTGATCATTTAATATAATAACCACTGTCTGAGCAAGAAACAATTTACTGCCTCTTCATAACAGTCAAAGTTTGCTGGTTGAGGCACCGATCTGAGTCTTCCTAGAAACCACAACCCCATTGATTTCATCTAGCAACTGCTCTGTTTCTTAAGGTTAGAAATAGTGAAATGACCCACCTTGGGGAGGGGGGGGAGAAAAAGAAAAAGGTTAATGTATTGTCAGCAAGTAGTACAATCAATAAGCAATGCCAAATGGGTGAACTCAGTATGTTTACACTGGTGTTATCTACAGATAATAAAATGTAGCAGGCAAGGATCTGCAAATCTTACAAGACAGATATATTTGTTTAGTTCTCTCTAGTTGATTCAAAGGTTACTCACTACTCAGGGAGTCCCGTTCCTTGTGATCTTAAGCATGATGGGATTGTGCATTAATTCTTTTATGATCCACAATGGGTATTGTTGTTACTGTGTTTCAACACTGCTCCCTCTTCCTGTGTATTCATTCATTCATTCATTCATTCATTCATTCATTCATTCATTCATTCATTCATTATTTATGTGTTTGTTTATGTGTTTGTGCATGCATGCATGCATGCATTCATTCATGTGCTTATTTATATGTTTATTTATGTGTTGTTTTATTTATTTATTTTGTGACTGAGAACTTCCTTTAGGCATATAAGCACTGCAGATCCTGAGCTGCTGGGTGAACTTAGAATCATAGAATGATAGAAAAGTGAAGTTGGAATGGGCCCTACAAGGCCATCAAGTCCAACCCCTTGCTCAATGCAGGAATGCAACCAAAGCATATCTGCCAGGTGATAATCTAAGTTTTTCTTGAATGCCTCCATTGTTGGAGCACTCACCAATTCCTGGGGAAACTGGTTCCACTGTCGTACTGCTCTAATAGTTAGGAAGTTTTTTCTGATATTCAACCGAAATCTGGCTTCCTGTAACTTGAGCCCATTGCTGCATGTCCTGCACTCTGGCATGATTGAGAACAGATGCTGCCCCTCCTCTGTATGACAGCCTTCAAGTAGTTGAAAAGTGCTAATTAGTCCCATTGTGAGACCTTATCTACAATTGATGAAATGTTTTGAAACTTTGAACTGCAAAATCTTAAGATTCAGCCAATGGATCTTTCTATCAGCTAATTTTTCACTTCACTTCTAGGTAACAATTGACAAACTTTTAGAACAGCTGAATACAAAGCACCTCCCAGACCATGATTCTCAGAGCACCTCTTCCCCAAAATGCTGAAGCATCCTTACCCAGCCAAAAACTGCATATGCATGATAGAACTATTGCAAATGGGACTGGAGTCTGCCTTTTTTGTTTTGTTTTGTTTTGTTTTGAATTGGCTGTCTTGGCTTGCTTAGCTTGAAAGTGGTGATGATGATGCTTTTTAAAAATCACAGACAGATAAGATGGATTGGCTGAAAAGTTCAAAGCCAGTGAGAAAAACCTAAGGGTTCAAGTCTAAGTCCATTTATGAGACAATATATAATCTTGAACTGAATGAGACTTAATTCTGAACATGGTTAGAATTTCCCTACTTACTTTTGGAGACAGTAATGGCAGTAAAAAAAAAAGAGAGAGAGAGAGAGAGAGAGAGAGAGATACTAGCTTTGCTGTCAGAAGCAGACCTGCCTTAAGAATTGAATGGAGTTTGTTTCTCCTATTTTGACTCCTGCAGGTGCATGAGTTGCAAATTAGCTTACTTGTTTAAGGGTTGGCCATTGGTGAATAAGCATAGGATTCATTTGCATGGTGCCTGCACAGATGGGTATGTTGGCAGGGGAACCTTCAGTTGACATCATTTTTTTTTTTGCAAGACAGCTTTTCAGAAGCACACTTCAGAACAAGAAAAGTCTCTATGGCAGAAAAATAGAACCTGCAAGATCCAGATGTTGTGCTATGACTCTTATCAATCCTCACTAATATAGCCATCCTCAATGCTGAGGATGACGAGACATGTAGTCCGGTAACATCTGGAGAGCTACCTGCCCTCTGATGCTCCACATCCCTCATTTTGAAGCAAACTAAAAATCTAGCCTGAAACCAAATATCTCAACATAGTCCAGTCTTCTGTGCTCAGCCTATAACCACAGCAAAAGGCTGCCTCCCATCTCTTGGCAAAAGTTCTACCTGCTACAGACATTGAAATAGGAGGCTGGATAGCTCGGTGGTATAGGTCTCTGGCTGTAGATCCAGAGGTTGGAAGTTCGATTCCTTGCTGTGCCTCCTGAGAGTAGAGTCAGCCTGTGTGGCCTTGGGCAAGCTCCACGATCCCAGGATACCCCTAGCAGAAGGGTATGATAAACTACTCCTGAGTACTCTCTACCTGGAAAATTCTGAAAAATGTTGGAATTGCCTTGACGGCACTACTACTACTACTACTACTACTACTACTACTAGTAGTAGTAGTAGTAGTAGTAGTAGTAGTAGTAGTAGTAGTAGTAGCAGTAGTAGTAGTATCATCATCATCATCATCATAGACATTGGGGAGCTGTGATATTGTGTGGCTCTTCCGAATTGTTGCCAGTGTGATTTTGATTTCCATCAATTAATCCTTCTTTCTTTTGCCCTCAGAATTGACCTTACTCCAGAGAACACTCTCTGGGTTGGAGCTTGGTGGATCGGATTCCTGGGGGCAGGGGCTGGTTCCCTTTTGATCGCAATCCCCATCTTAGGCTACCCTCACCGCCTGCCAGGTATGTTGAGCCTTTCAACGCAAGCCATCCGTGCTCTGAGAACCTTGCTTCAGGGCAGAGCGCATATTTTCCACATAGGATGCCCCGAGTTGAATACATGGCATCTTTATATTAAAAATGCTCAGGCCGCAAATCTGGGAGAACTGCTTATCTGTCTGAGGAGACAATAGTCTGACAGCCTGGCAGCCCGATAATAATGTCATCCCTACAGCAAAGTTTCCAAGCTCTGAAGTTGGATCCCTTCTCTGCTCTTTGTTTATTATGATTTTATTTATTTATATTTTCATCCCACCACTACCCGGGGTGGCAAACAGAACACGGTACCTCAAAATACAAACAACTTCAATAAAAACCACATAAACAGCAAGCAAGAGACATAATGTCTAAAAATAAAATAACTAATAAAGAATGGAGACTATAAAATGATTATAAACATTAAATACAATAGTATGAGGTGGCAAAAACAGGCCAAGTTATAATGTCTAAAAATAAAATAACTAATAAAAAATAGAGACTATAAAATGATTATAAATATCAAATACAATAGTATGAGGTGGCAAAAGCAGGCCAAGTTCATAAGCAGAGAGAGAGAGAGAGGAAGCCCAAGCAGTCGACAAGATTGCTCTGGGGTAACGCAATAAAAGGCTTGTGAAATGAGCCAGGTTTTAATTTGTCTCCTAAAATATTTGTAAGCCTCTCTCAGGGTCACCTCTTTGGCCTCATCCTCTTTATCAGAATGATTTGGGCTCCCATTAAGCATCACCTCTCAGCTTGTCACTACCCAGATCTATGGACGGCAACAATTGTTGGAGAGCTCAATGGTTTCAGTGTCTGACTGCAGGGTCAGAGTTTGGAAGTTCGATTCCCCACTGGGCCTCTTTGACCGGGGCTGGAGTCCATGATGCATAGGGTCCCTTCCCACTCCGCAGTTCTAAGATGGTTATAAATTGGTGGGGCTTGTCGGCTGGAATGGGAGGGGAAAAAATAATGGCTGTTTGCGGAACAGGGCTTCTTTGTTCATCTGCTTCCGAGATGCCCTTTAGCTAAAGTCAAGCTTCCACCAGTAACTGAACTCCAATAGTACAGGTTTGCCTACATGGGGAAAAGAAAACTCAAATTCTCTCCCACACATCTGCCTCCTCTGGTGGCTTTGTTTGTCTCTGTTTTGTTTCCCTTTCCTTATATTACCTGATCTCCTTGCACACCTCTTACTTTTCCTTTTCGCCTAAAAAAAGATGGATCCTCTGGAATGATCTTGCGGAATTTCAGAGAGCTTGGAAATCACGATGGCTAAGGAATTCTGGGAGCTGCGATCCCAAACAGTGACCATCGCGAACTCTAGAGCAGGAGTGGGCAAACGTTGGTCCAGTTTTAGCAGCCTTCAAGAAACTCCAAGAATAAAAGGGGGTTATATAAAATTATCCCATTTCTGTCCACGGAAGCCTTTATGGGAGCAGTGGTTTTCACATCGGAGGGGGGGGGGCTTTGAAGCCACTTAAGGCCCCACCTGCCCCATAAAATTAAAACATTCAAAACTGAAAGTGCCTTTCTGGGCACTTCCTTTTTAATTTCCTTTTAAAAAAAAAGTCACAGATCAGCCTTCTAGGGACTTCCTGTTGCTTTCATGTGATTTGCCACTGTTCTCAGTGTGATGCGTTTTGAAGGAATCTGAATACTATCAGTTGCTGGCTAAAGGAGCAAATCACATTCCTCTCTTGTCTCCCTTGTTCTCTCAACATCTACCACAGAGCATGGGGCTAGCATGAGCAAGCATTTAGACCATGTCATGTTCCTCCATTACTAGTTAGAGCCACTTTCTTATATTTTTAATGTATTTTTTAAAATTTCCAAAACAAATACAAGAATACAAAATACTTACTAATACAATCTAAACCGCAGTGCACCCCCCCATACCAACGGGACCCTTTGGAGTAATACTTTTAATACAAACCTCTTTTCCAAAATTGTATTGAAAGTTGTTTACAGGCTTTCCCCTTTCCTTTCACTACTACAAATTCAACAAATCTACCCCAAATAGCATAAAAATATAAGAACTGATTTCCCCTCTTTCATCTTCAGTTCAGTAGTCAATTGATCATTTAATGCAATGTCCCATACTTCATTATACTAATATTCTAATTTAGTATCATTTTTATCTTTCCAGAATCTAGATATACATATTCTAGCACTTGTCATAAAATTGGAAATCAATTCCTTTGAGCAATAATCAAAATTCTATCAAAAAATTGACAACATAGCAATTTTAGGATTGAATTCGACATCTTTTCCAAATATATCACATATTTCCTTAAAAATCAGTTTCCAAAATTTCTGAATCCATTTACACTCCCACCACATATGATAATACATGTCAGAGCAGCTTTCTCTCTCTCTTTTTTTCTTTTAAAAATAGTAACAGGCCAGAGAAGAGTGCTGAGTTCCGGGTGGGTATGAGTTAGTGTACAGATCTAAATGTAACTCCCCCTCCAAAACATATTGTTAAAAATGAATGGAGGTTGTTTCTACAGGGCTTTGGCACTATCATCATTCTAGTCAAATCTTGTGGTTTCCAGACACAAACTGATTTTTGCTGCTAATAATGTGATTTCAGGTTCTCAACGCTACATCGTCATGAGGGTTTCAGAAGTCCATCAGCTGAAAGACGGTAGTCACAAAACAGCCTCAGACCCCGATTTTGGAAAGACAGTTAAAGACCTTCCACGGTGAGCACATCTCCTTCTTACCTGTCTTTTGAGAAGTTCTTTCCTGAATCTGTGCTTGTGGCCAGCAAGAATTATCCTAATTCGAGATGAGCACAAATTAAAAAATGAATCATCAAATTTATTTTTAAAATCGCTAATTTCGGTAGTCACAAAACAGCCTCAGACCCCGATTTTGGAAAGACAGTTAAAGACCTTCCACGGTGAGCACATCTCCTTCTTACCTGTCTTTTGAGAAGTTCTTTCCTGAATCTGTGCTTGTGGCCAGCAAGAATTATCCTAATTCGAGATGAGCACAAATTAAAAAATGAATCATCAAATTTATTTTTAAAATCGCTAATTTCTTGATTCATAATTAAAAAATGAATCATCAAATTTATTTTAAAATTGCTAATTTGTTCATTCATAATTGTACAAATCAATGCCCCCGACTAACATGAATCAATAAATTTTTAGCAATTTTGGATTCATTGATTTGTTGGATCAGGCATTTAGAGACACCAAACTGCAGGGAATCTTCCTCTGGCTTTCCTCTACAATCCCTCCAAGTTTGGTGAAGACTGGGTTTCCCCAAGCCAGCTGCTAAAGGAAACTTTCCTGGGGGACCCACTCTGTGGGTATATAACTTGGATGTCTGAAACCCAATCTTCACCAAACTTGCAGGACTTGTAGAGAAGAGTGAGGGGAAACTTATCTGTAATTTTGATGTTTCTAGGTGTTTGGGGGCCATTTAGGAGGGTTTTAAAGGCAAAAACAAATGGACAAATCGATTCATCAATTCATCAGAAAAAAAAAATCATAGCTTCGCAATTTATGATTCAGTGGCATTGACAAATCATGTTCATCAATTCATCAGAAAAAAAAATCATAGCTTCGCAATTTGTGATTCGGCGGCATTGACAAATCATAAATCAAAACCAATCACCATTTTCCTGATTCATGCCCATCTCTAATCCTAACACTGTGAGTTCTGAAGTCTCTTACCTGTATCTTGGGAACACACTCCATAGCTCGGAACCATTACCTACTGGGGAGTTTTGAGGGTTGTACTCTAAAAGTGGAATGTTTCCTAGCTCTGCTTCACCTCTTAGAGACTTCTTCAGTTTGTAGTCTCCACCTTGAGACAAGGTTAACTCAAATTTTGTGGCTACCTTTGGCAAAATGTTTGGATTTCTCTGCTTCCCTATGATATTCCTTGTGGCCCACATACCCTATACTATTTTTTTGTATCACACTTAGTCCGATGAAGATTTCTGGAGAACTCAGAAGCTTGCACAGTTGAGGGAATTGAGTAGGATCTACTAAAGATCCGTTGCCCACCTTGGATTTTGTTTTTGTCTTGTTCTCATGGACAGCCACAGATATTTCTGCTTTTGCAACTCATAGAGACTACACCTCAGTCAGCAGTAAGGCCTTGTTGGAACAAAGTGCCATATTTTTCCATGTATAAAACAATACTTTTCCTAGAACAATTAGAGGAAAAAATGAGGGTCATTTTATACATGGAAGGCAGCAGGAGGAGACGGAGACTGAGGCGCAAAAGCAGCCGCACTGAGCTGCCTCTTATGGCTGCCCATTGGCTGCTGGTGGTGCTAAGGCAGCAGGAGGAGACGGAGACTGAGGCAAAAAATCAGCCACGCTGAGCTGCCTCTCACGGTTGCCCATTGGCTGCTGCTGGTGCTGCCTGATTGCCCCCCTCCAGCAATCGTCTCCTTGTGATTGGGTGGCGGTGGCAGTCAATGTGCAGCCACAAGAGGCGACCGAGCGTGGCTGCCTCTTTGCCTGTGGCAGTCAATGGGCAGCCACAAGAGGCGACCGAGCATGGTTGCCTCTTTGCCTCAGTCTCTGCCTGTTGCTGCAGTCTCCTCCAGCACCACTCATGGGCTCAGCAGCAAGAGGTGGAGATGGAGGCAAAGAAGGAGCCGTGCTATTTCACAGAGAAAATGAATCCACTCTGGATTTTAGCTTAAATCTTGCAGGAACTCTCCATGGTGCTGAAGCCTATTCCCACATGAAAGTCACCAGCCTCTATGGCTGAAACCTATTGAAAAAAGGGGACTGTTTCTGGTAGAGACTTCAAATAGTAGTGATTCCAGATTTTCAAAAATTATAGATGGGGGGGGGTGTTTGATGCGATCAAGGGCCTCATAAACATAGCCCAGGGAGTTGATATGCAACCTGAAGGCCACTTTCTGTTCATCTCTGCTTTAAATATTCAGACCAACATGGTCCATAGTACTTTGCCTTCCCTGAAAACCATGCCTCACAGGCTAGTCAATCTTAAGGAGTTGTTTGGAGATAGCTATTCTTAATTCTGCAAGAAGACATTTGAGATCATGCCCACAGCCCAATGTGAAGCCAAGCATGCATACGCATGTTTCAGGTAATGCAAGGGACTGCACCCCCAAATACGTTGGTTCCTAAGAACTCAATGGTTTAGGTATCTGGCTGCAGAGCCAGAGGTTGGGAGTTTGATTCCCCACTGTGCCTCCCTGATAGGGGCTGGATTCAATGATCCATGGAATCTCTTCCAGCTCTGCAGTACTAAGATTACGAAAACTGCTGCATAGCTCAGTGGTTTGGGAGTTCGATTCCCCACTGTGCCTCCTTGACAGAAGCTGGTCTTGATAGTCCATAGAGTCCCTTCCAGTTCTGCAGTTCTGAGATTCTATTCTATTCTATGCATGATTTGTGCAGATTAGGTTATTGAAGACACTTCAGCTTTGTTCTGGAGTGAAATTCTTGACTATGTGCCACTTTCCAAGATTATGACTCAGTTCTTCCAAAAGGAAATTAAATTTGAAAATAGCACTTAATGTCCATTAGGGTCTGACCAAAACCAACATAGCAAAGATACAAAGAAAGCTGAATATTAAGCCAGTATCTGTTTAACTCAGAGCTTAGATAATTATTTTTTAAAAGCAAATTGTTCTATGTCTTGTTAAAGTGTTAGGAAAGTACCCCATCTCCATAGTTACCTAACAATTTAAATATAATGCTTTTACCTAACATTTTAAATATAGTGTTATTAATTCTTCTTTAATAGTTGAATAATTTGCTGTTTTTAGCTTTTAATACTGTGTTTTTAATTATGTAAGCTGCCTTGGGCTGTTTTATTAGGAAAAGGGCAGGATAAAAATATTTTAAAGAAACAAATCATTACAAGGTGAACTAAGTAACTCATTTACCTACTTTTCTGTTAGTTTCCATTACTTTTAAAAGACAGACGTTAGGATTGATAAGGTAATGATATAAAACCCGGAAAATTAGTGCCAAAACCCTTCTAAAAGTAATGTTGGAAAGTAACTACAAATTGTTACATACAGTAAAGCAATTTTGGGCCTACCTGTTACATCAATTTGAAATGTAGTTTCATTACACCTCATTACTGGAAAAAGTTACCAGTCACCTGTAATTATATTATTTCTTACTTGTTACATCTAAGGACTGCTTTTAGTTTTCCCACCAGGTCTCTATGTTGTATAGTCGTGCCCCGCTTGACAATTACCCCATTTAATGATGAATCCACTTCACAATGATGTTTTTGCAATTGCAAAAGTGATCGCAAAATGATGTTTGAATGGGTTTTTTTTCGCTTAGCAATGATGGGTTCCCTGCTTCGGGAACCGATTTTTCGCTAAACGATGTTTTTTCAACAGCTGATCGGCGGTTTTCAAAATGGCCACCAGCTGTCAAAATGGCCGCCGCTGTTTTTAGGAGGCACTTATCGCAAGTACTTTTAAAAGACAGACGTTAGGATTGATAAGGTAATGATATAAAACCCGGAAAATTAGTGCCAAAACCCTTCTAAAAGTAATGTTGGAAAGTAACTACAAATTGTTACATACAGTAAAGCAATTTTGGGCCTACCTGTTACATCAATTTGAAATGTAGTTTCATTACACCCCATTACCAGTCACCTGTAATTACTCGTTACATCTAAGCACTGCTTTTAATTTTCCCTCCCGGTCTCTATGTTGTACTTCAATTTCAGTTTCACTAGGAATAAAGTTTTCGCTAAACGATGTTTTTTCAACAGCTGATCGGCGGTTTTCAAAATGGCCACCAGCTGTCAAAATGGCCGCCGCTGTTTTTAGGAGGCACTTATCGCAAGACAGGCACCGGAAAATGACCGCCCTATGGAGGATCTTCACTTTACGATGAGGTATTTCGCCCATTAGAACGCATTAGCCGGTTTCTAATGCATTCTAATGGGTTTTTTAATTTCGCTTGATGAGGATATCGCTTAACAGCAATTTCAACGGCACGGATTATCCTTGTCAAGTGAGGCACCACTGTATTTCAATTTCAGCTTCACTAGGAATAAACCATTGGTGGCTCTTAGCTTGTTATCAAAGAGCAGTGTGGTGTAGTTGATAGATTCTTGGATTAGAACTCAATAGACTGGGCTCAAATCTTTGCTTAGCAATGGAAACATCCTGGAGGTGGGATTTCAATGCCAAATTAATTCTTGAATATCTCACATTGCTGAAAAACCATATTAGGTTCACCATAAGTTGGAAGCAACTTGATTGCGCATTATTAACAGTTTGTTTTCCTATGTTGCTGTTATGTGCCATCAAGTTAGAACCAAGTTATAGTGACCCCAATATGGCTTTCAAGGTAAATAAGATATTTATGGCTGCTTTGCCAGTTCCACCTCGCCAGTGTGTTTCCACAGCACAGCCAGAATTTGAACCCAGGTCTCTTGAGTCCTAGTTCATCACTCTATCCACTATACCACCCTGTGTATCCCTGTTTTCATATAGCTCCCCCACTTAATTTCAGAAGGCCTCTGTAAATCATCAGGTGGCTCCTTGAGAAGAAAGAGAGGAAGGCAGAAGGAGTAAGAGGTAGAGAGAGAGAAGAAGAAGTGAGTGAGTTTTCCCACTTTCATTTCCGGGTTTACTCGCTGTTGCACCCTGGTGGCATGAGACCTCCACAAATTAATCCTAAGGAAATGCAACCCTCGACACTAGAAAGATTAATCTGGTGGTGGTCTGTAAAAATATCTCTCTCCCCCCCCCGCACCTAACTAGTCATTGGATGGAGTGGGAGTCAAAGCATCCTCCATAGCTAAAGCAACACTGAGGATGGTGTTGCAAGGGGGTTGGGTCAATGAGTGTGGGAGGAGCTTTGAAGAGAGGCTATAAGATGGATGGGAAGGGGGCACCACCTGTATGACCACTGAGACTACGTGACAAACACAGAGTGGGTCTTGACAGGGGGCAACATGTTGTTCCCACTCACCCCCCAAGATCAAGTTCTTGTTTGACAAAAATTAAGGAGAGAAAATGAAGAACAAAGGAAGATTTTGATCTATGAAAACTCACCTTGAAACATCTGTTTGTCTCTCAAGAGACACAACATTTTCTTCTTTGCTTCTCTTCTTGTTTGACAAAAATTAAGGAGAGAAAATGAAGAACAAAGGAAGATTTTGATCTATGAAAACTCATCTTGAAACATCTGCTAACGGGGCTACTTCTGGAGAATTTCCTGTCTACCGTTGTTATGTGTCATTCATATGGAACCAATGCATTCCAGGCTGTTTGCTGATGGACTTTGGCTTGCATTTTCGCTTTGTGTGCCAAAATATCCAAGACGGGGTCTCCAGGTTGCCTGAGGACAGGCTATTATGTAAGGATTGTTAGACACTTCACTTTTAAGAGCCAAGCCCCAAAGGCCTCTGTGCCAGCAGGCCATACTCAGTTTCAGTCTGGAAATAAATTCTCCCAGTTATGTCTTGTCAAAGCAACACTTGGACATAACTAGTTACAAGTATCATGGTTAGCCATAACTAAGTAAGGTTTGGCAATGAGCGTTGCAACTAGTCCCAAGGAGCAAAGTTGCATTGTTGGGGTTTGTCTTTTATATTTCTATAAATATTCCCATGGTATAATATCAGAAAAACGGTGTTTCTCTCTATTTTTCTGTCTTGTTGGTTAAGACAAGCTCAATGCCTTAAGGTATTTTTTTAAAAAACGCTAGCTGCTGCACAAGAGCAAAAAGACCAAGGTTTTTATTTTTGTCAGCAGCCACTGAATTTTGCACAGAACCCGTATATTTTGTGCTTAAAACGTTGTATTTTGCACCAAGTACAAGGTATGTGTTTTTCCACAAAATGCACCTTTTTTGCATGAAAAACAATTAAGATTTATTTATTTTTTGCAAAAAGAAAACCCTGTCAACATGGGGAAAAAATGCATGAAGATTCTTTTATTTGCATCCAGCAAGGAGGTAAAATTAATTTGTTTCATTCTCGCTTCCAAGAGTGAAAATAAGCCTTACGGCAATCAATAAAATGATAATATCACATAACAGGCTTTTGCTGTCCTTTCCAAATTGTTCTGGTAACAATCCTCTTGGCTGAAACATTCAGTTTGTAAAATGCAATGCAGGAAGAATATCACAGGCCAGCAGAGAAGTGTGTGAAACTGCCTTATACTGTACGTACCGCTTTAAATATTTTGTCCTTTAGCCCCATTTATTGTCAGCTCTTGTTTTTTACATGCCATCAAGTCAACTCTGACTTAGAATGAACAACCTCCAGAATGTCCTGTCCTGTAAACTCAAAGCTGTGGCTTCCTTTATGGAGTCAATTCATCTCATATTTGATATTCTTCTTTTCCTGCTGCCTTCAACTTTTCCTAGCAGTGGTCAACGCTGGTAGTAGTCTTTTCCATCATTTGATATCTGATCCTTTTCAATGAAAATGTCAGAAGTTGAACTTGCAGCCTTTGGCTTGCAGAAGCACCTGCTCTGCAATCACAGAATTACAGTCCATTGCCAGATAATGTCGCTGGATAAAGGAGGAAGCTAAAGACAGACAAAGATCAGGCAAGTTGACCTCGTGGGATACTGAAGGAGTACTGGCTCCTTCAGTGTCCCATCGGGATACTGAGAAGGTGGTGACAGAGAACTTCTAGAGGCCTTTAGGAAATCTTGCATTCCAAGGCAAGGCAGGATACAAAAGTTCACCCCTGTAACATCAGTGTAGTGTGTTGACTCAGAACACCTTGTGCCGTCCATGGATCAGTTTGCTGATGCAACGGATCTTTGTTGGACTGGATCTGTGTTGCCTGATTCATCCCTAAGTTTTCCATCAAGTTGCACGATCAACAGGTCTAACAACTCATTCCAGATGTCCCACTGCATCTGCATAAGTTTGACTGGCCTTAATATCCTGAAGATGGGCAGGTAATCGAGACCATCTGAGCCCCCCGAGGCTCATTCTGTACCCAAGGGAAAGACTCCCAGCTGGAACCGTTTTCTGACTGGAAACACACAACAAGTTGCCACATGTCAGATAAGCTGAAAGGTTGTTTTGGCACCTAGCCCTCTAAGAACTCACCCATGCCTTAGGTTGTTTGGGGAGTCTTTAATATATTGCGCCAGCATTTCCCCCCCTAGTGTTGATATCAAGGTATCTGATTCAACAATGTGTGGAGGGGTGTGGGGTTTTGTGGGGTTTTTTCCTCATAAGGGCAAGGTTTTTTTTTTCAACCAATCATCTGGCACAGCACAATTAACTCCTGAACGTAAATGTCAGTGGACCTGAAGGAGAAAGACATTACAAGATGGAAATCAAATATAAGATAATACTGTATATTTTTTTTCTCAATATGGTACCTTTCAGATATTTTGGACTTCAGCAATAACTCCCTTTGGTCCCTATCACGTTCCCTCCTGTCCCTTGCTTGTTTCGCCAAGCAAAGGTACAAGCTACATGTCATTCAATGCCACCAGTTGATTACATCAGCATTGTTCACTATTTATGACAGAGGTCCAGGCGACATATCATTTAAGAACCAAGTAGAAATTAATGTTACAGGTGATAATAGTTAAGTCTATATTGTTAACTCTCCACTAAAAAAACCTTCTCTCTTCACTCTCAACCACCTCCTCTCTCTCTCCCTTCCTCCCTCCTTTTCTTCACCCCCCTTAACTCCACCCCTCACCAACTCCTATTGGTGCATGGAACTCTCCATATAAATATTAATGAGCAGGGTGAATGCTACAGTCCCAACCAGTATGGTCCACAGTGGATATATCTGCAGGATATTGAGTTGGTGAAGCTGACCCTAGTGTGTTGGATGGTGACTGTGAAAGCACACGAAAACTGCACTGAGTTGCCTTGCGCTAGTGTTCTCTTCACGCTAACCTACCTTACAAAATTGTAGTGAAGATTTGAAAGGGGGCAATCATGCACACTACTCTACAGATTCTTTGAAAAGAACCTTTCTTTTAACTGCAAGAAATCAGAGGAAATCCACTGGCTACCATATCAGAAAAGACTTCGCTAAAAAGAGTATTCAAAATAAATATGGAAACAGAATGGACTTCATATTACTGAATATGAGTTTGTTTCAACATGCTTGTTTCCTTCTGTTCTTAAACCCTCCAGGTCAGTACTGCTGCTACTAAAGAACCCAACTTTCATCTTCCTTTGCTTAGCTGGAGCAACAGAGGCAACACTCATTGCCGGCATGTCTACCTTCGGTCCCAAGTTTCTGGAATCCCAGTTTAGCTTAAGTGCCTCAGAAGCAGCTACCTTATTTGGTAAGGAAACAATCACAAAGTGAGACTTCAGGTTGCTTGCAGATTCTGTGAACTGTGTGTAATTTGAAAGGATGAGCATTCTACGGGCTTTGTGTGGAAAGGTCACACATGCAATAGACTAATGCCATCACACAACTGGCTGTGATGGTAGCCACCTTGGGTATTTTTAAGGATAAAGGCAAGGTAAAAATATTTTAAATAAATATAAATAAATAAATTGTGCTGTGTACACTTCCCAGCATCTTAGCCATCTCTATTTGCCTTTCATTCATGGGACTTTTCTCTCCCAGAGACGTGGAAATGTGCAGATGTCACAGACTGGAGTGGGTCAAATATCTCCTAAAGGGTAGAGGGGAAGTCAGATATAGATCAGATTGGTGGGCACACCTCTAATCTTAGACAATATGTTATTGGTTGGTTGGTTGGTTGGTTGGTTGGTTGGTTGGTTGGTTGGTTGGTTGGTTGGTTGGTTGGTTGGTTGGTAGGTAGGTAGGTATACAAATTCTCTAGTGCATGCACTATTCTGAGTGGTTTATGAGTTAAAAGTTACAAAGTTACACATTAGAAATTTCAAAGAAACCCACACAGCAATATGTATAACAATATAGCAGTTTTAAAAAACACTAACAAAAGAGAAAAGAGAAAAGAAAAGAGAAAACAAGAAAATAAAAATAAAATATTAATATTAACATCTAGAAGACTTTGTTGTAAAAGGCAGCATTAAATAGTTGTTTTCAACAGTCTTCTGAACACAAGGAGGGAAGGAACCTGACATATCTTCACTGGTAACTTGCTCCACAAATGTGGGTCACCACTGAGAAAGCCTGATTCCTCATCTTTGCCTTTCTGCCTGCCCTCAGTGTAGCCACATTTAGCACCATGAGTTGGGAAGAGCAAGTGAAACAGGTAGTTCCGAGCTCTTAGATGGTGGTTATAAAAAGAAATCATACATTTGAGTTTGCTGTATTTCTTCTGCTTCTTTGCAAAGGTTACCTTGTGGTTCCAGCTGGAGGAGGCGGTACATTCCTAGGAGGCTTCATTGTGAACAAATTTAAGCTGCGTTGTTCAGGGATCATTAAGTTCTGTTTGTTTTGCACCCTGTCAAGTTTGCTAGCTATTTTCATCTTTTTCATTGATTGCCCCAATATGCCCATGGCTGGAGTAACACAGATGTATGACGGAAGGTAGGTTGTTTGATAAGTATCTCTCTTTGCTGAAACTGCTGCTTGTCATGTCAGATCAATGAGAAAATGGAAAACATCCAGGGTAAAAGCTAGGGAAAGCACAATTTGTAGACTCACACATTACTGTTACTGGCTTTCTCTTGTTTGTGATCCAGGATACCGATTATGGTTCATTATGTGCCACATTAATTCTGCAAACACATGGACTAATGAATGGGGATGGGCCAAAAGGGAAAAATGACTGTCCTCAAAACTCACTGATACTGGTTTTGGATTCTCTACAAGGGTCACCTGATATTCTCATTCCCTCACGTGTTTGTCAATTAATTCTCTTTATTTTGTATTGGAGAAATATTGTTCTCTAAAACAAAAATATTCCTGCCTGACAAGAGATGGCAAATTCTCTGTTAGTCAGATGCATATATGAGCACAGCATAGAATGCCCTTCAGCTGCCTTAGGATGAATGATGTGACTCAAGGACTCAGGAGGAAGAGGGACTGGTCAAGGGGAAAGGCATAATCCACATCAGCCATTCATCTCTGATTTTGAAGACATAAATTGCTTTGTTCTGGAATTAGGTGCAATAAACAGTTTGCTCTGCAGTGTTTAGTCTTACACTAAATTTCTTTCATTCACACAACAAGTACACAAATTTGATTTTCAATATAACAAAAATGAGATGAGAATCCTGGGGAATTTCTGCCTAGGGAAGCCACATCAGTAGACTTTTAAATTTTTATTTCTTGTAAATGTTGTTTTGGATCATCCAGTCTGAACTTTCCAGGTGCTACTCAGCTAGATGCATTTTGCCATTCAGAATCAGTCTGAAAGTTAACAAAGACTTGTGGACACAGCTGAAAAAATATGCACTGCTGAAAAGTGTACAAAGAAAAATGGGGCTATTGTAAATACACACAAAACTCTGTTCAAACACTCTTTAGTCAATAGGGATGTTCAACCAATGTGTATAATTCAAACTGTGTGCACAATCAGGTACATGTTTAGTACTGTAAACAGCAAAAAGGGGCCGATTCCATCTTGTGTTTTTTTAAAAATAAATAACAATTAAAAGTAATGGAACTGAACACAGAAAAGGGAACGGGTTAAAACCTTTGTGGTATATAGATCCCTAGTCTTTATCAAACTTTGTGAAATGTAGAATGGGCTGATTTTTACTTTTGGAGAGCTGATGGTGCACAGCAGGGAGGAGAACTAGTTGCAGACTGAGTTCAGGGTTAAGTTCGGCCATGCAAGGATGAGTAGACTTTCTGGAATCAAAACTGTTAAAGGCACAAAGAGGACAGTCCTCCTCTCTTTTATCCTTTTCCCCCCACCCCAGCTTTATACTTGTAAAGCCTGGGTCCTTTTTAAAGAGAAAGGTGGGATACAAATCAATAAACAATCAATCAATCAATCATTCAAAGCAAGAACAATCACAAAAGGGTGATGGTACCATGGCAAATAAAGGTTGATGTTGCAATATCCTTGAACTCTGCAGTGACAACACAGTGGGCACTATTTTAATCTCTACACAATGCCCTAGATGCAGGGTACAATTTCAGGGAAACTGTAGCTAGCATAAGGAACTCTGGGGCATTGTACCCCCAAAATGTTATTTTTTTCCTAATCTCTGGGTTACAGCAATCTAGGGTGGCTTACTTGTCAGTTTTAGCTTAAGACCTGCAGGCAGTGCAGTAGATAAATACATCCTGGTTCCGCCAATCTCTATGCTTTGTTCTACTGTTTTCAAGAGCTGAGGTCTGAAAACCCTACAAAGAATACTTCTTTACTAACTGTCTTGTTTTGTTTAGTGTCTTACTAGAAGGGCGTCCCAACCTGTCCGCCCCTTGTAATACAGCATGTGGCTGCCTGCGAGAAATGTACAGTCCAGTATGTGGGGATGACAACATCATGTATTACTCACCCTGCCATGCCGGATGCAAGAAAGTGTCAACGAGTCACAACAGAGAGAAAAAGGTGTGTTTTGAAGATAGCTTCCATCTTTTCCTATGTTCCGTCATGTTGACGCCAACATCCTGTTGATCCTTCACCAAGGTTTGAAGAGCACTAAGATGAACTCTGAGACACCAAGTGTACAAAGAGTGGTGATATTTTTGGGGACAGCATCTTCACAGAAACTTAAGACATGGCCACACACCAACAGAGACAATGATAAACAATAAGAACATACAAAAACCCATGCTGAGAGGTGAAAAGCGGTGTTCCCCAGGGACCGTTGCTTTTCAACTAGTTCATAAATGACCTGGAGACAGGGATAAGCAGTGAGGTGGCCAAGTTTGCAGATGACACGAAACTTTTCTGGGTGGTGAAGACCAGAAGGGATTGCGAAGAGCTCCAGACGGATCTCTCCAAACTGGGAGAATGGGCGGCAAAATGGCAAATGCGTTTCAATATCAGAAAATGAAAAGTAATGCACATTGGGGCAAAAAAACCCCACAAAAAACTTTATTTATCAGCTGATGGGTTCTCAGCTGTCTGTGACAGATCAGGAAAGAGATCTTGGTGTGCTGGTGGACAGCTCGATGAAAGTGTCGGCCCAGTGAAGAAGGCCAATTCCATGCTAGGGATAATTAAAAAGGGGATTGAAACTAAAACAACCAACATTATAATGCCATTGTACAAAATGATGGTAAGGCCGCACCTGGAGCCACACCTCAAAAAAGACATCATGGAATTGGAATAGGTGCAGAAGAGAGCGACTCAAATGAGCACTGGTCTGGGGCACCTCCCTTATGTGAGGAAAGGCTACAGCATTTGGGGCTCTTTAGTCTAGAGAAAAGGCGCCTAAGGGGGGACATGATTGAGACATATTAAATTTTGCAAGGGATTGATAAAGTGGATGGAGGGCAGCTCTTTTCCCTCTCAGGCAATGCTAGAACCAGGGGACATCCACTCCAATTGAGTGTTGGGAGAGTGAGAACAGAACAAATAATATATTTCTTGACCCAGCATGTTGTTAGTCTGTGGAACTCTTTGCCACAGGATGTGGTGATGGCATCTGGCCTAGAGGCCTTTTAAAAGGGGATTGGACGGATTCCTGGAGGAAAAGTCCATTGCAGGTTATGAGCCATGATGGGGATGTACAATCTCTAGGCTTAAAAGGAAGGGACCTCAAAAGGCCAGATGCAGGTGATGGGTATCAGGAGACAGGTATCTAGTTATCTTTTTTGTTCCCAGAGGCATCTGGTGGGGCCACTGTGAGATACAGGAAGCTGGACTAGATGGGCCCTTGGCCTGATCCAGCAGGGCTCTTCTGATGTTCTTATGCTGAGCCAATCCAAACAGTGGCTAAACATTTGCATCCAGGAAGTCCACAAGCGAGACATGTCCACACTACAGGCGGCAATTTTTTTTTCTGTCAGGCACCACATTCCTTATGAATTAAGGTGTTAGGGTGACACGAGGGTGGTGATGGATGGAACCAAAACCTCTAGAGGAAAGAAAGATGGCCAAAATTGAGGGACTCACCCATTTTCTTGCTTGTTACTCCCTGTAATTACAAAAGGATTGCAACAAACACCAGAGGACTAGAAACCTCTTTCTTGATATGTTCCTCGCCTTCTTCAGAAATGCTGTATATGGAGGAACATTTTAAAATGGTAGGCCCACCTTTTCTGTAATCAGGAGTTGAACTACCCTGAATTTTCCCAACCAAGTCTGCGACTACACGGGTCAATAGTATGGGAATAAAATGGATGCATCTGAATTTTTTAATCACTCAACACAAAGGCCAGTTCAAATCAGTTTGGCCCTTTTTACTCCCAAAACAGTGTCTTTTTCTCTGCTGCTAGAGGCGTCTGCTTTTTTCAAGCCGGAGTGATGTGAATTGTGCAAAAAAACAATTCTGCTCTTGGGTTTTCCAAAAGGATGGATGGCATGACTGAGTAGCATTCTGGTGACATACTAAGATGGGTATGATGTTTCATGCAGCGGAAATATCCACCCTCCACAGTCTTTCTCCCCAAAAGTATTTTTTTAAATGAACTGCTGTCTGGATAGGTCAATGTTGGGACTTCCGTTCCCCACTGTGCATCCTAGGAGAGCCAGCCTGTGTGGCCTCGGGCAAGCTGCACAGTCCTAGGATGTCCCCAGAAAGAGGAGATGGTAAACCACTTCTGAGTACTCTCTACCGAGAAAAACCTGAAAGTCAGAATTCACTTGACAGGACGCAATTATTATTACAACAAACTACCGGATTTAGCACTAGATCAGTGGTTCTTAACCTTTGTTACTCGGATGCTTTTGAACTGCAACTCCCAGAAACCCCAGTCAGGACAGCTAGTGGCGAAGGCTTCTGGGAGTTGCAGTCCAAAACTCCTGAGTAACCCAAGGTTAAGAACCAGTGCACTAGATCATTACTGTTGTTGTTGTTTGTTTGTTTGTTTGTTTCATTTTTATACTGCCCATTTAAACCTGAAAGTCAGAATTCACTTGACAGGACGTAATTATTATTACAACAAACTACCGGGTTTAGCACTAGATCACCTTATTATTGCATTGATATATTAGGTTTAGCGCTAGATCACCTCTAGACAGACAAAAGAGAGAAAGAGAGAGAGGTAAAAGCCAATATGCAATAGAAACAACAAAATAGGCTGAAAGTCAAGCCACAGCAAAGCCAAATTGCTCTGATTCGGCTTGCAAGTGTCGTTTCAGCCATAGTTGAATGCCTCTTTCTGCTCCATGTGTAAACTAGACTTTCATGAGCTGAGGAAAAGATGAAGGATGTCTGTTCCCCTGAAGCCCTTTGCTCAGTGTCCTAGATTTCTTTGCTAGACACCTTTCCGATCTACTCTCTCTATATAACCTCTTCTTTGCTAGACACCTTTCCGATCTACTTTCTCTATATAACCTCATTTTTTGTTGTTTAGTTGTTAAGTCCTGTCTGACTCTTTGTGACCCCACGGACCAGAGCAGGCCAGGCCCTCCTGTCCTCATAACTTCAGTTAGCGGTTTAATTTATATTAATTCAGGACCTATGTAGATAGAATTGTGTTCTGGCAGGGGGTGGACTTCTTCTAAATTAGGATCCCTGTTTTTGTTGTCTTTGCTTGACCAGGTTTATCACGAGTGCAGTTGCATCCTGGAGCATGGTGCCCCTTCATCAGGTTTGGCTACAGCTGGAAAGTGTTCCTCATCATGTGACAGAAGGACCCTCCTCCTGGTTTTCATTTTTGTTGTCATTCTCTTCACATTCCTAAGCAGCATCCCAGCTCTGACAGCTACTTTAAGGTAAATCAGAGGAATGGAGCTTCTGCATCTGAAGCATGAGGCCCCTCCCTTGCTAAGATCACAGTGACATGCACTTTACTTAACACTGCTGTTTAGTATTGGCAAAGCTTGGCGGGAAAAGCTTACCCCTAATCTGGGAGTGCTAGTCCATTAAATAAACTTTTCTAAGTTCTCAGCATTGCCTACGTGGTCACATGTATACCAGCTGCAACTGGTCCTGAACAATGGAGTAACAACAAAACTTTGATCTATCATGTAGTGGGGCTCTTTGACATTATTTCAATTGCATCAAACACAGATATTTGTGTCTTTCTCTCATATTGTGCTGGCATTCGAGAGCTGTTGCTCAATGATCCGTGCGTGAATCGTTTCTGCTTGCCATTGTTTTCAAATGTTTCTTCCTGCGTTCTAGATGTGTTTCAGACCGGCAACGATCTTTTGCACTTGGGATCCAGTGGATCGTAGTGAGGACACTAGGTATTGTCTCTGATACTCTACTTTTGCTATAATTGCTCCTCCGTGTAAATTTGTGTCGCTTCTGGATATGTTCTACAGGTCTGTAGCAGTGCAAACAGTGCCCAAGCCAAAAGTGCCATGGGACCTTAGAGACTAAAGGACACATTGTCTCTTCATTTTTCATATGGAACAGTGCAGGCTGCCATATAAACAAAGTGGTCAAGTCACTAAGACAAAAGGAATTTGAAAGACTTCAGCCCAAATCCTTTTGGGAGAAAATGCAAACAGCAAATTATTGCCCTCACTCTTTACCACCCTTTATTGGAATGTCTATGGCACAACCTGTAATGTACTGGTTGCAAAATTGTTTAGGCAACAGGCACCTCAGGAAAAACTGCTTATTTTAGTGGTTCCCAACCTTGGATAACCCAGGCATTCTTGGACTGCAATTCCCAGAAGCCTTCACCACCAAATTCACTGGCAGGTGTTTCTGGGAGCTTCAGCCCAAGAACACCTGGGTTACCCAAGGCTAGGAACCACTGGCTTACATGATCACTAGAGGTGTGCAGATTTGTGCAGAATTCCCTAGGCAGCACAGCTTGGGGCACTTGAAAGTTGTAGTCCAAGGACACAAACCTGCACTCCTTGAATTATTACCCATATATTCATGGTTATTTCCATCCCAGTTCTGGCCCTCAAATTATTCAGATCAGAGACCTATTTTTAGGTCAAACATACACTGGCGGGACTTAAACTTAGTGTGACATCTAACAGTTTGTCCCACTTAATGTGGTGCCCTGAGAGGTTATGGACTGATTTTTGTTCTTGACTCCAGTTTTCTCCCACACTTGTAAGAACAGATTATCTTATTCATTTCTTTCAGAGCAGGGGGAAAAAATTTTCTAAGAGAATTCCTTAGTTTGGCTTAGAACAATCGCTCAAGTCTTTTAAGGAAGAAACTGGGTAAATGATAAATTCATCCAAGGGAGGGTTTAGGGGAATCTGATTTTTTGTGTGAAGGTTCATTATTTATATAGTTGTACTTGATGCCAAAGAAGTCGGTTACTGTAAAAGTAGAAATGCAATTACAACCTAATTTGGGAAGAACAGATTTATCATTTGTGATTCCCAGGACATTTTATTGCCTGGGGTCAAAGTACCTAATAATGTCACTCCACCCACATGGCAGTTGAATTTTACTTTGACATAGGCAACAGAAGACCATGGTTGACTTTACTGTGGGATGGCAGCTTAGCTTTGACAGGCAGGCCATGTAGCATTTTATATACAGCTGTCTCTTTTTGCATCTCAGTTCCGCTTTCCTCTCATGCTCCTTCTATGTAAGCCTGGAAACAGATTCCAGCTGTGTAATATCATTCTTCAGCTTCCAACACTGTCAGCAAAGGAAGTGAGAAAGCAGAGATGTGAAGACACCTTGCTAATTTTCACATTCTCTGCCTGTTACGAGTTCATTAACCCTCTCTACAATTTTTCATCTCTCAGTCAAGAATAAGACAATGAGTGTTTGTCTTACTAAGGGTCCCCACAGTCTTCAGAGAAATGTTCCTGTGCACCATAACTGTTGAACTCTTTGTAAAGCAAAGCACACAAAGAGAAAGCAAGCAAGATTGGTTGATTAACAAAAAGATACAAACAACCCATTCAATGCTTTCAAATCTTAAAATTCCATACAGCAGGATAGCAGCTGTTACGATTCAGTTACACAATTTGTATATCTTACAAAAAATGTGCAAACACATTCTTGCAAACACACAAATGTTTGACACCGACACTCGATATCTTTTAGGCAAGATGGAAAAATGGGCATTTTATTCTTAACAAGCAAGGATTTGCATCCCTATTAAAAAGCCACAGTCATTATTATCATTATAATAAACACATCAATGCCTTTTAAAGAAAATAACAACATTGAGATCATTTTGTAACATATAAGAAATATACCAAAAAATGCAAAATATTACAAAATTTAGAAAAACAATAAAAACAATGAAAAATCTACCTCAAATAAATAATGATAAGGACAGGTAATTGGGATCGTGACACAATTGTTCTTCTCAGACATCTTTTCTGTAATCTCAGATGGCACTACAACAGAAAAGTTCCCACTTCCTCATCATCCCGCTCTATTGCTACCATGTGTGGTGGTGGACGAAGAGAAGTACAATGAAAAAGGAGCCAGAGTACAACTTCTACAAGGCCTGCCATGAACCTGAAAGACAGCTGAATTGCTTAGGAGAGTCTTTTGCTCCATTTTGTAGTAACTCCTTCCCGAGCATCATGCAACTTGAAACAAATCTTGAAGCACTCCTCCAAGCATTGCAGCACATAGATTCACTTTTGGGATTAGATGCTAGGATGTATTCCCAATCATGGTGAGATGGTATGTCCATGCCCAATGCAAATTTGGGCTGAAGTGTCACAGTACCCCACAGCTCTCACATTCAACAAAGGCAGAATCTTTGAGATGTCCTTAGATTCACCTCATTGGACCTAAACATCAGAGAGATTGCTTTGCATTTCTGGCGTGCAAGACTCCACTCCGCATATTAGCATATTTTAAAATGCTAAAAAGAGAGCCCTGTGTTGAGTTAAAGATGAACAGGTTGCAAACTTTCACTCACTCCAGGAATACAAAGTACACTGTTATTCAAGGGAGTGTACTATGTGCATATAAAACATTGATACTAGGGCTGGTGTTTTGAAAGACATCATAAAATGATCTAAGGAGGTATTGTCTGCCTGAGTCTTCCCTTGTAATTATTTCCATTTCAAAGTTCACCAAACCATCAATAATGGGGGATTCTAGAACAAATCTAACTCCAATAATTACAATGGGAAGCATCCTACTGATTTTTATGGAGCCAGGATTGCCAGATGTGCTAGGATTATCTGGGACAGGAGGTCAAGAGTAGTCTGAGATAAGTATTTTTTGGCAGCATACATTCTTCATTTCTCTCTTGATGTAGGTGGCATTCCAGGACCAATTGCTTTCGGGTCTATGATAGACAGGTCATGTCTCCTCTGGCAGAACCAGTGTGGTGAACAAGGGTCTTGCTATGTGTACCAGAACTTTGCCATGAGTCGATACACTTTGATTGCTGGTCTTATATACAAGGTAAGGCAAAAAAAATCATTTTACCAACAGCACTCCAGCTTTGTCTCTACGGAGGTCCACAAGATATGTGGCCCAGTCAAGGTGAACATCACTCCCACCATGAGCAAAAGTGAAGCCGCCTAGAGTGGTCGCAATTGACCAGATAGGCGGGGTATAAATGGAATGAATGAATGAATGAATGAATGAATGAATGAATGAATGAATGAATGAATGAATAAGATAAGATAAGATAAGATAAGATAAGATAAGATAAGATAAGATAAGATAAGATAAGATAAGATAAGATAAGATAAGATAAGATAAGATAAGGGTAAAGCTGTGTCTGCATTGTACGAAACATACTGAAGCGTGTGTGGTGCTCATACAGCTTCACCACAGAGATTACATAAATTAGAGAACTACAAAGGACAGCAGGATTTTATTCCTTTTCACAGAGATCATTTGTGCAATTGCAGAAGGGCCATTAAGTAGTGAGATTTGTACCACCATTTTTTTTAAAAAAGGGGGGGAATCAGAGATGGGGTATGGAGAGAAGACAGATGCCAGAACACTAGTTCTGATCTAGGCATTTAAATTCCAGATAAAGACTATATACCGTATTTTTCCATGTATAAGACTATACTTTTGTCTAAAATCTTTACACTAAAAATTGAGGGTCGTCTTGTACACAGAAGTAAGCTGAGGAGAAAACAAAAACAAGTGGAGGGGAAAGCAGGGATCAAAGCGATTCTGCAGTGCTTTGATCCCTTTCCCCCTACACTTGCTAAGCCCCTCTTAGATTTCTTAATTTTGGATTAGAAAAGTGGGGTGCGTCCTATACACAGAAAAATACAGTAATCTTTCGGCCACAGGCACATGCACATTGCATCTGAATAGGTCACTGTATCATAAACTAACTCAGCTTCATAAGAAAGAAATGAAATTCTAACAGGCAAATCTTAGCTACCGAGGACAACACTAGTCTTTCTCTTCACCCTCTACTTATGCAAAATGGCTGGTATAGAGACTGCACAGTGTCAGTTTGAGACCTCCCTAGTGCCTCAGTTAAAGTGTCCAAGGCAGATCTTGGGTTTTATTAATAAGTTCTGTCATTCATCTTCTTCTTTGGTGCCAGAAAAACTCAGTTTTTTTGGATTGCCATTTCCTCAGTTCAAATCAATGGGTGTCTTTGGCTAAAAAAAAAATTTCCTCAGTTCAAATCACTGGGTGTCTTTGGCTAAATTTTTTTTTAAATCCCACAAACACTGTATGGAATACTCAGAATTCATTGAGTGTTGGTCCACCTCAGGAGTGGCCAGTGGCTCTTTACCCTGGAATGACCCTGGAATCACAGAAATACCCCTGATTTTGTTCATTTGCGAAAACAGTACATCTTTGTGCGACATAGATGTAAATATGGATATTTAGAAAGTTAAGTCCCAACCAAGTAAATATCATTGTTCTGACAACAACGCTGTTTCCCACGTGCATTGCCAGATATGTTATGCATGGTAGAATATTCAGTTTTTCAGATTTTCGCATGCAGCCAGAAGTGGTATGGTCCACTTTAGCCCTATGGGTTTTAAGAGTGGAGCCTGGAAAAGTTACTTTTGTAGGGTGACAGCTTCCAGAATTCCCTCACCAGTTGCCATGCTGCTGTCTGTGGAATTCTGGAAGATGTTAGCCCCCAAAAATCACACCTCTGAGTTTTAATATGGAGAATAGGGCAGTAACACAGCAGATTCCCAATCTTCTTAACCAGTAAGAGAAGTGGAAACCATGTGCAGTTGAAATATTCAAACGTTGAAGTTTTTGATGTCTTATAGGTGATGGGATCATTCTTTTTTCTACTTGCCTGCGTGCTCTACAAACCACCTCCCGCAGAATCCCTCCAAGGCAGCTCGGAGACCTCTGAAAATGGCAACTGTGACCTCCAGGAGAACAAGTGCCCGCCTCATTCTCAAGACAATGTATAGCACTTTGGACACAACCAGTGACTTGCACACAATCTTCAAGATACTGTGTCAAAAGAATATGTGTTGATCTCTTCCTGTTAATTATTGCTTTTATTTTGTTCATCTCCTCCCCTACCTAACCTTTCGGGAAGAATAATTTAATGACGTTCTGGTATAATTTAGTACTTTATATGGAGAAAAAGCACACCACAAAACTTATGGACTGCCTTTCTGCCTCTAAATGAGGGTGTCACCAGATCTTTGGGCCCTTGGTACAAGGAGACGGATGGAAATGCAAACATCTCGGAGAAACTATTGCCACAATCTTAATATCTTTCCAGACACGGTTTCTGTCAGTTGTTCCTAATGGTTAGAGCAGTGCAACAGTGGAACCCATTACCTCGGAAGGTGGTGAGCACTCCAACGCTGGAGGCGTTCAAGAAAAAAAATGGAACAACCATCTGCCACATGTTTTGACTTGGATGCCTGCATTGAGCAGGGACTTGGAGTTGATGGTCAACCAATAGGCCCCTTCCAACTCCATTATTCTACCATTATATGAAATGGAGTGCCGCCATCTTCAAATGTTAAAAAAAAGAGTCAAGATGGCCGTACCTGTGGGGCATTGGGATGTGTTTCTCTTGCTTAGCTCAAGTTAGGGGAATTCACAATGGCATGTCCTGAGCTTGTACTGAGACACTACGTTTGTGTCTGACCTCAGAATACCACAAAGGATCGTAACAACAACTTCACCAACATCACAGTGTTAATTTAATTTATTTAAATAAGGGCTAAACAGAGCTTTGGAGCCGTTCCTGTGTAAAGCACTTAAAATGACAGCCACCTAAAATGGGCCATGCAGTGAAGCCAACACAAACTTTTTCTAATGTAAACGAAACCTGTTGGGCCCCTTGTTGCTCCCTGATAAAAAATCATCTTCCTTGGGTTCTGCTCCTTTTCCCTTCCCTTCATCACTGGATGGCTGCAACATGAGGATGATTTGCATATGCAGACCACAAATAGATCTTCCATATCCCTTCACAGCACCATCCTCTCCGACGGAAGCCATACTTTAAATATATTTTCTGCCATGGGGCACTGAGTGAGAACTCACTTTATGATGGCCTTGGAGATATAAGTCAGGCCCTTTTGACCTTCAGCAAGAGTCTTGACAGTAAAACTGCTGTCTTCTATTTCTTTTGTCAGCTCCTTGTTTGTCATGCTGGCATTTCCTTCCTCAGTGCTCCTTCAAAAAGCAGCTTCTCACACACAGTAATACTCACCAGGTAGCAAAAGAAGCACAGTGTGAAGAGACAAGTCTCCTGGACCACTCAATGCATCATGGAGCACCTTCTACTGGTTGCCCATGGGTATAAATATTCAACAAGGTTGGAGTTAATGAGTATATCTATGCTATGTAGGTACGGCAATTAGATAGGTCCAATACCATGTTAACTGCCCATCACTCCAGCGCCAGGAAAACCGAGATTTGGTAAGGTGTTTTGAATTTTCTTCTGTGGTTCCAGGAGCTGTACTAGGCGACCGTTGTTAAGTACCTCACTAAACTCAAATCCCGGGATTCTGTAGAATTTAAGCAAGGTACTTAAACCGGTATGAAATAGACTTAGTTGTATAGATATAGATGCCCTCAATATCTTGTTGCCATTGGCTTTTCTTCTTCTTCAGTGGAAGGCGTAATATCGTGCCTCTGGTTTGCTCCTGTGACTGACAGAAAGTGTACCTCCTGTTATGTGTGTGATCATCTTCAGCTTGCATCAATGTGGCAGGACTCTTGTTCAGGTTCAGATTCTGTGGGTTTTTGTTGGTGGTGTGAGAAGCGCAAACCTCAGTCCTCTTTCATACCACTTCTTTCCTCTTGCATGTCAGGCTCACATCAATACTCAAAGAATGCTCTGCTCTTGAAAGAGGCAATATCCTTAAGCAGGTCCAGTATCAGCACATGGTAACCCATTTGGGAAGCTGCTGGTTATTGGTGGGGCCCAGTGCTGACTCAGGACCAGCTTTAAACCAGTTGTGTTTCAGTGTGCCCAATCAAGACCATCCAGAAAGGGCTATGAGCTGCTCTTTTAATTTCCCATAATGGTATCCAGTGAGTGCATGGAAAAGTCATTCTTTGGATTTCAAATTCCAGAATCCTCCGGCAGCTGGAACTGTTGTCCAAAACCAGTAAATCTCCCAAGCCCTAACTTAGCATTGCCCTGGGATCCCACCACTAGAAGAAGAGGACCATCGGAGGACACTCAGTTGAGGGTGTTTTCAAACCCGAAGACTAGAACTGATCTTTAAGCTGTCCTCTCTAATGATAAAAACAAAAAAGAGTTCACATAAACTCTTATGGGAACAAGTAGAATGTACTGGTTGATTGTAATTTCACACTGAGTCCTGAAGCAGGCCAGAGGGAACAGGCAGATGGATGTTCCCTCTCTCCCCACCCTCTTAATTTTACTATGTTTATTCATTAACTGGAAGTGGATGTGTGCTACGACTTCATTTCTCCAACCTGTGAAATCATGCAGGAACATGTTTCTTAAGACTATGCTTCAGATGGCAGGAGGTGGGCAGGTATGTTTTAATCCTTCTCAACTTCAAATCAACAAGCTCCCTAACCTAGAAAACTAGTGTGCAAGTAAGAAGGCCAAGCCCTTGCCCTTGAGAGGCTACTTCTCCATTTGCGGGGATGTTTTTTGAGTTTTGGAAAAGATAGGAAAAAAATTACAAATTTTGTTTGCATATGGAGAAGGAATCAATAGCTAGTGGCAAAGGTACAAGATTCAAAATTTGGAAATAAAGAACAGAAGAGTAGGAAATGGGGGTGGGCTTTTGCCTTCGAACAATACATCATAAATTTGGTCCCTCTAATGTTTAGTCAGAATTCCTGACTATTGGCCATACTGTCTTGGGCCTTCTGGGATTTGAAGTCTAAAACCTCTGGGAGCCCAAAACATCCAAGCCAACATCTTATACCCTTGGAATGTGGCAAACAAACTAAGCAGATAATTACATCTCCTGGTTCTGCTTCATGGATCATTTGGTCTTTAGATTTTTTTAAAAAAATCTTACATTTAGGTCTCCTGATAACTTATAAAACAATATTTTAATGTGTTTTGAAAAGAAGAGAACCTGTACAAAGTTCCCATCTAAACAGTTTGAACTTTGCATAATCTCCTTAAGGCGGGTGCACAATCTGAATGGCAAAGCACATACCTGTTGCTTCCACCTGCAATATGCAAAGTGACCCACTGGGATCTTCCTTCTACTGTTAGCAGCACACATTGCAGTTTTTGTCTTTCTTCTGCCATTGTTAACGCTCTTCGTTTGTCTTTGTGTGTACAACTGCGACGGGTTTGTATTACTTTGCATGAGAAGAAGTGTGAGTGGTTATCTCACAAGATCATGGGATGATCTTGTGGGACAGTGCCCTATTGAAACTTGAATGCATTTTCCTCTCCTCCCTTCCCACCAAAGTATTTTCAGGTTTGCACTTCCGATGCCTAATTCCCTTGTCTAAGATGTAAACAAAACGACATGCTGAGCTACAACTTGCATTAGCCCTACTGTTTCGAGAAAATATGGACATCAGGTGTTTTTTTTTAATGTACTGTAACAAAACTATGATTTATTGGTTGTGAGTGGTTGTGTCGTCACCTCTGCTTTTTTTGACATGGGGAAAATGTTTTTTAAAATATGGATCTATGCAATGTTTGCTTGCTCTACTCTGTAAAGGAACTGTGTTTTTTAGATACATGCTAAAAAGAAGAATGAGCATGGATTTTTTTTTCCCTTCTTCTTCTTCATCAAAGTTAATGATGGAAATATTAAATGCCTGACAAAGGCATCTGAGAATATCCAAGGCTGTTCCTCACCACTGGTGGGATTCACATTCCTTCCCATTTTCCTAGCATTCCAGGTCTTAAGATTAAAGACGGCAATAGGCTGACTACTTTCTGGGCTGAGATTGTCCCCAAAATAGAGAAAGAGGTCTGTTTGATATAGAATGTGATTTTCTTCACTGACGTATCTTGCATTTTGTGTGCTTTGCTACATGGTTGGACACTGCAAGGGAAAACCTTGGCTCAACTTTCAAGGCTAGTCACCCAGTCAGGCATTTCTGAGGTACAGTAATTCTGCTGAGTTAAAATGAGTTAACCACAACAAATACACATTTCCTCTTAATGTCCAATGTGAACCTCAGATTGTCTATGAACAATAGAAATGAAGTATGAGCCAGAAACAAATTGTCTAAACTAGGGATGGGCATAATTCTGACTAATGGGATCCGTACTGGGTCTTTTGTTTTAAAAAAGAAACCCACATCCACCAAATGATAAACAGTTGTTGTTTAGTCGTTAAGTCGCGTACGACTCTTCGTGACCCCATGGACCAGAGCACACCAGGCCCTCCTGTCTTCCACTGCCTCCCGGGGTTTGGCCAAATTCATGTTGGTCGCTTCAATGACCCTGTCCAACCATCCCGTCCTCTGTCATCCCCTTCTCCTCTTGCCTTCACCCTTTCCCAACATCAGGGTCTTTTCCAAGGAGTCTTCTCTTCTCATGAGATGGCCAAAGTACTGTAGCCTCAGCTTCAAGATCTGTCCTTCCAGTGAGCACTCAGGGTTGATGTCCTTTAGAATTGATAAGTGTGTTCTCCTTGCAATCCAGGGGACTCTCAAGAGCCTCCTCCAGCACCACAATTCAAAAGCATCAATTCTTCGGCTGTCAGCTTTCTTTATGGTCCAGCTCTCACTTCCATACATCGCTACTGGAAAAGCCATAGCTTTGACTATGTTGGCAAGGTGATGTCTCTGCTTTTTAAGATGCTGTCAGGGTTTGTCATCGCTTTCCTCCCAAGAAACAGGCAATTTTGCATTCAAAAACCACTTTTTAAAAAAGTTTTCATGCTACTTCCAAATTTCCACTAGATGGCAGGCAACTTTCACAAATCTATTCTAATCTGGCAAATGACCATATAAAGTACTACTCCTGGAATCATAAACCAGCATGACTTGGAAAATTCATAAATCATCATCCTGATCTCAACCTAGTGAGTGATGAATTCACAATCTAATGCCCATTTCACACATTACATCTGTCCTGAATCAATATAGGAGAAATATGTTTATGTATTTAAATAAATACAATGTCTTTCTCCCGGGCTTGAGACGTCCGAACTTTGAGTTTCTCTGGGTCACACCAAAGGTGAATCGGACATCTGTGGGTCAAGAAAAGATTAATCATGTTTCCTGCTATTCCTTTATTTTGCTTCCAAGCATACAATTCTTCCTAAGCGAGATCTTTAGCAAATGAAGTCTACGTTTCTTGGGTGATGACCATCCACCACAAAACAAAATTGAGCTAATTTGTAAAATGAGAGACAACCTTCATGTCATGCTAGCTAACTGCATCATCACCTGGCTGAATAGCTGAATGGAGCTAGAGGCTGGGTGTTCGATTCCTCACTGTGCCTCCTGCAAGCAAAGCCAGCCTGTGCAAGTCTTATGCAGGTTGCACAGTGCATAAAATAAAGGTATGGTAAACCACTTCTGAAAATTCTCTACCTGCAAAATCCTTTTTAAAAAGTCACCAAAACTCAACATTGTCTTGAAAGCATATGATTATTATTATTATTATTTAACTGTATCATCTAGTTGGAGGCTCAGAACACGGTTTTCTTGCTGTTGCAACTGGTCTCCCAAAAAAGGAGATTATGACTAAGTTGTTTTCTAAATATATTCAGGATACTCTGCTGTAGAGTTCAGTAAACAGTGAATGCTTCAGTCTACTCGTTAGTGTCCCATGAAGATCTGCCCCTATGTGGGCCAAGCCAATCAACCACTGAGATCCAGGGGACAGTAAAAATTATATATAAAATTGAATTCTTTTTTTAAAAAAACCCAACCCTCTAGTTTATTATTGTGAGTTGGCTGGATAGCTGAAAAGTTTAGTTATCTGGCTACAGTCCTGTTGCTTGGGAGTTCAATTCCCCGCTGTGCCTCCTGCAAGTAGAGCAAGCCCCACAAGAAGAGATTGGTAAATGATTTGGAAAGGGTCAGAACTGATTTGACAGCATATTATTATTATTGTGAATATCGGATACTGTGCTTTTGTGTCCAAGATTCAAAATGCTAGGAAACATCCTGATATGGCTGCACAATGTTATGCCCACGTGACCAGGAGGAAGAAGGATGCCAAACTTCATGTAGCAAAGGGCAGCCTGAATGTTGACAACACTAATGGCAGCAGTCAAGATGGTCTACGGGACATCCTCTTGTGCTCAGTACCATTCTCAAAGTAACACCGTGCAAGGGAAAATCTCAGAAGCAGACTCCGTTTTTCATCAGTTCACCACTTTTCACTCAAACACAAAGCAATTCTCTTGTTTTTTGATAAATGTGAATGGTAATGAGCACAAGAGGGTACCCAGTACACCATGGACCATCCATTACCTCAGTTATTGCAACCTGTAAGTGGATTTACAAAAAAGGATGTAGTCTGGCTCAGAGCTAAATAAGCAACAACCATATCTTCGTTTACATTCCCCTTCTGAACATTAATACATGTTAAACACTAGGAAGAAGTGCAATCTCTACTAAAACAGTCACTGTATAAGACTTGGAATCGTGCATTTTACAACTTAAGAAGACAGCAACTTTGAGGTTATTTGCTCTTTTGTTTCAGGATATATTCAGAAATATACGCCATTTGTAGGCCTAGTCACCAAAATTCTTGCCACTGAAGGAAAGGTATTTAAGGAAAGAATCTACGCATTCAGAAAAGTGGAGAAAGAATAAGAAAATCTACAAACATCTAGTCAAGCCTTTTAGTGAGCCATTCTTGGTGGCCATTTTGCAGCTTGATTCTGTGCCTGTCGGAGCTCTGCTAGAGAAGAAGGTAAGAAGGTTTTTTGCCGGGTGAAAGAGGCATTACCAACTCATTGACATAATGGATGTGATTTGACTGAAACCTGAGTGTAAAGCATGGCTTACCGCAATATCTAATGTGAGCTCTTGACACAGACCATTTAATTACTGCACACTATCCAGAGGGCTAACGGGAGTCAGCTGAATGGAGGTTAAGAGCATTAAGGTCTCGCCAAAGCCATCTTTTAATGAACAAGCAGGTCAGTGACCTACACACTTGGTCTTGAGACCCACATCATCTTGGTGGCCCCAAATATGGGGTCTGCTGCTACTTGCTTCAGTTCTGAATCACTGGCCTGCACTTCTGTGACCTCAGCATTCCTTCCAAACATTATTTTGTGATATTGTTTGTTGCCTTAAAAAAAAAAACACGTGTTCCGATAACAGCAATGCCAGTTCTATTGCTTTACTTTGCTAGAATGGGGCTGGTGGCTGCGTCTTTACAGGCACTCTTGAATGCTTCGTTCACCGGAGAATAATCTACATGCAAATTTCAACTTTTAAGTCTTCAGATACAGTCTAAAGAGACTTGCTGTCTGCAAAACGCTAGGCTATTCAGTCAACTTAGAAATTACTGAGGAAGCGACAAATATTTGAATTTTAATCCTCCTTGATGATAAAGCATGTTTCATCACATTAAGGCATTCTATTAAAAAAAAAACCTGTCAGCTACTGTCTTTTTTTTTTTTAACTTCCATGAGTGGCAGAATTAGCAAAGAAATAAGTGATGTTTGTCCTCTCGGTGCAAAATTAAAATCCCAAATTGCTTCTCAGAAAAGTGCATTGGGGAAATTTTGGTTTATGAGCCTCGTGGCACAGTGGTTGAAGTGCAGTACTGCAGCCAAAACTCTGCTCACGACCCTTGGGGGCAATGTGTAGCCTGCATAATGAAATTGTAAACCACCCAGAGAGTGCTTTTTGTTGAAAACAAAAGAAAAAAAAGAACAAGAAAAAAACTAGGTGGTACGTACAACATAAAATTTTAGGAAATATAAAAGACTAACTTTTATATTTTTAATGGGAATTTTAATGGAAAAGTCCACTGTATTTTAAAAGGCTCTCTTTCTCAAAAATATGACATTAGAATAGCAAATCATTCTTTTAAAAATAAGAGATGAATAACGGTACAAATTACTTTTCGCAATTTCAAAGACTAGCGAGTTACTTTTAACAAGTTACTCTTATCACCTAATAGTCCATGTTCTGTCTATCAACTCCATGCTATCTATAGTTCTCTTCCTTTTTTCTTTTTTTATAATCGGCATTTATAATTTGCATTTTAAAGCCAGTGATTTTCAGACATGAGTAGCAGGAGCCAGATGGCCTTCTTACAACCTTAATCCTCATACAGTGAAACAGTTCTGCACTCCCTGTAGTCCACTCTTTGGTCACAAACTCTCTTGCCAGCCAGTTCATAAAAAATGGAACAGCAAGATGTGGTAGGCAGTGCGGCTGATCAGGAAGCTGAAGGTCAGCTGTTCTTCTTGACCCAAACCTTTGGGACAGCCACCATGCCCTGGAATTTATCTTATTTGAAGCAGAATACAAAGCGATGTCACTATGAAAGTCTCACAAATACTATCCTTTTCTGGCCGCATAACAGACTTTCTCAGTCACACCATTTTGTACACATATTACTGAAATCACCCCTGCCACCATGATGGGAACATCCAAAATGGCACAGATGACTTTTGTGTATTTTATTTATTTTATTAGATTTATACCCCGCACATCTAGACAAATAGTCTACTCTGTATTCCAAGGAATCAAAATCCCCTTGCTTTTAAATCATTCTGATACAAAGGGCCAATGGAGGAAAATTAAGATAGGCACATACATAAGACTAAATAAGG